GGATGCTCACAGCACATGAGCAGTTCTGCACTGATAGTCATATTCGCTGGTTGCAATCCTTTTTGCTTTCATTAAAAACAGTTGATGTTAGAGAGAGCGAGATAGGAACGTTTCTGTACAAGGCACTGGGGAGACCTCATCTAGAAAGTTGGGTATGAATTCTGGTCACGGCAGAGGAGTTCAGACTGAAGCAGGTGTGGAGAAGGGCTACTGGGATGTTTAGGGCAATGGAGAGTCTATCATACAAGAAGAAACTAGAAGAGTTTGGCTTGTTGAGCCCAGCAAAATGAAGGCTGAGAGGGAATATGATTGCTCTCAGTGAACACACTGGAAGATAAGCACCCAGGAGAGAGAAAAGTTATTTAAGCTAAAGGATGGTGTTGGCATGAGAGGGAATGGATATAATCCAGCCATGAATAAATCTAGACTTAAAATTAGAAAAAAGAAAAAAAAAAAAAAAAGGTTTCTAATCAGCGGAGCAGAAAGACTTTGGGCTGCCTGCCATACCAAGCATTGGAGAGGGCACTCATGCAATTCAGATGGAGAGTGAGCAGCAGTGCCGGGACCAGAATTGTTGTCTGAGTGGTGAGGTACCCCAGGAGCTGCAGAAAGGTGTGCTGACCAAGGTCACAGCACAATATAGCCAAAACACAACACAGGCCCAACAGATGATGGCATATCCAGTTGTTGTGCACAGCTTAGAGTGCCCTTGCCCGGGGGCAGTTGTGCAAAGTCCATGTCTGTGCTGAGGCTAGATCCACATTAGGTTAGGCCATGACATCCTGAGGCAAAAGGAGGCCATGTTCCTCAGCAGGCCCTGTAGGTCAGAGTCCAGGTTGCCCTGTGTGTCAGGCCGCACACCTGAACCCTGCTCAGGGGCTGGCTGGCAAAGGGATGACCAAAGGGTTAATGGAGAACAAGTGATTAACGAGGAGTAGGGAAATGGCAATGTGGAGAGCTGTTGCTGGAATGTGTTTTGGAGAAAGAGGGCAGAAAATGCAGTCCAAAACCACACTGTGTATTTTTCCCCCAAGTGAAGGATGAACACGAGCCAGCAGTGTGCCCTCAGAAGCTGAGCAGCTGTCTCAGAAGAGCAGTGGCATCCGAGCATGCATCAGAAATGGAGTGGCCAGGAGGACATGGGTAGGGATTGTCCCTCTCTATCTGGCACCGGTGAGGCTGCACCTCCACCACTGCATTCAATTTTTGGCCCCTCACTATCAGAATAATATTGCTGCTAGAAGGCTTTCAGAGAAGAGCAAAGAAGCTATTGAAGGGACTAGAACTGGAGATGTATGAGGAGCAGCTGAGGGAACTGGGGCTGTTCAGTCTGGAGAGGAGGAGGCTCATGGGAGACCTACTTGCCCTTTGCAACTACGCAATTAGAGGTTGTGGTGAGATGGCTGTTGGTCTCTTTTCTCAAGTGACAAGTGGTAGTCTGTGAGGAAAAGGCCTCAAGTTTTGCCAGAGGAGGTTTAGATTAGGTATCTGGAAGAATTTGTTCATGGAGAAGGTGGTCTGGCATTGGATGGGGCTGAGCAGGGTGGTGGTAGCATTCCCTTCCTGGAGATTTTTAAGAGATACGTGGACATGGCACCAAGGGACATGGTTTAATGGAAGACTAGGTAGTTTTAGGTGAATGCCTGGACTTGATCTTAAGCGTCTTTTCTAACCTAGGTGATTCTAGGTTGGAAATTACTACATACACAATTATCCCAAGGTCAAGGGGACCCAATACATAATTGGTAATGCTGTAAAAACCCTGACAAGTTAAAATAATCGTTTAAACATCTTCATCAGCTCTTACAGGAATTCCTTCTTGCCTCATCATCACTGTGGGTTCTCAGTACCACCCATCCTTCTAAACACAGCATAGAACTTAACCTGGAGAGATCTCCATGAAGGCACTAAAAAACCCTGCTCCATCTCCATAGCGTAGGGCCATAGTTATTGAGCAGCATTCTCCAGGGTAGGACAGGAAAAGCTTTGGTGAGCCCTGTCTCTTATGCCTCATCCTCCTCACCCCAGATAGCATCATCAGTGCAGCCCCTAGTCCCCAGTGATTGTCTACCTCAGCCCTGGGCATGGGCTACCACAGAATGCTATCAGTGTCCCATGGCTGTGATGTTGCAGGCCCTTGCAGCCAAATGATTGCTTGGTTCTAGATATGGACCTCCAAACAGTGCAGCCAAATGATTGCTTGGTTCTAGATATGGACCTCCAAACAGAGGGCTTTTAGCTGATGAGTATTAGTGTTTCTCCTAGCAGTGCTGCAATGTGGAGCTGGTCCTGGCTGTGCAAATAACTGTCTGCAGTCAGGAGCAACAGAGCACATCTCTGGAGAAAATGAGCCAGGTAAGATTTTCTTTGCATCATGTGTTTAGTTTTTCCTGTAGTACATTACAGGTGACAGTTCTGGCTGAAGATCCCAAAGCACTTTCCTGTGATGAACGCATTATCCTTCCCTTTTCTACTGTGAAATTGCCCAAGACCATTTTCAGTATTTTGGAAATAGTGACTGAGATGTGTGTGAGGATGTCCAGGTGCCTTTCTCCAGTTCCAGTTTCCAGTTGTCCACCCCTGGATGGCTATGGCTCTTACACGATTGGTAGGCATTGAGTGAGGAATGAAAAGATATCAGTAGTAGCTAGAAATGGTGCAGTAGCTAAAAATTATGAAGGAGCCAAATTATATTGTATTGTTTGTTTTATTTTGTTTTATTTTTAGTTAAGTTTTTTTGGCTTTTTTTTTTTTTTAATGAGATAGCAAAGAGGCTAAAAAGGCACAGCAGCAAGTTTTCTTTTCCTTCTGTGTGTATGGATTGAACTGATGCTAAAATCAATAGTTCCTAAGTCCCTGTAGTGATTGTCCAAGACGTGACCATCACTGCTCGCCGCCCCTCTCAGTAGCTACATCAGCAGATGTTAAGAAATCAAGCCCAAAACCACACGGAAAAGCTGAATGGATGGATCACAAATAGTTGATTAGCACTCACTAGCACTGATGGTAATGCTTTCAATAAGCCTAATGAAAAGCGTTTGACTATCTCAGTGAACTTGTTTATTGATTATTAGTGAACGATAAGAGCCATTTGATATCTTGCAGATGCCTTGCTCCCATTGCCTTGCAGTTAAAATGTCAGTTAACATGCCATTTAATATTCTATTAGTATTGAATTAGCACTTATTACACTGTGAAAATCATCACCATAAATCCTTATTAAAGCATGATCCATAAGGTTGGGTGGCATCTCTGGCAGAATAGGAGGGTGCGTGTGTGCAGACAGACATGCTGGGAAACCTGAGTGTGTTTGAAGCATGCCTGGGCTTGGAATTTCTACATTTGTACACTGATTTCCTGTGGCAGTTTCAGAAGCACAGGTATGCCCAGATGAGTAGTCCAGATCCAGTTTGCTCGCTCGTCCAGTTTTCCTCCTTGCCTTCTCTTTCCCTCTCCCTCTCACATTATTTTGGTTGTACCACTGGCCTAGGGATAATCCTGGGCAAAAACAGCATGCAACAGGTTATAACAGAGTTTTTGTTTTCTGTAGTGCTTCTCCTGTCAGCCACTGAGGGCTCCTGGGTGAGCATTCTGAAGGGGCGTCTTTGCACCTCATCAAAGAGCATGGCACAGAAATGCCCGACCTGCCTCCAGGCAGAGCAGGGTGGTACATACAGTGCAAGTCCAAAAAGCAGCATGGCTGGGTTGGTGTTGTGCTGGGTCTGTTGTACTCTGCTCATACAGATAGGTGTGCTATGGGTTTGGAAGTGACTAAGAAACTTCAGCGCCCACTGAGTTCAGCTGCAGCTGTTAATCTGCTTAGGTTCTCAACACCATCCCCCTTGGGATTTTCACAAATCCAAAATGTGCACAGAGGAGCTTGGAATACCTTTCAAAAAGATTGAATCCTGGGCTGGGGTCTTTTGAGCTGCTCTCTAAAGCAAATGTTTGTCAAGTCAGGCCTGCTTCTAGCCTGGCCGGCAGTTTGGTGAGCCTCTCAATTACTCCCACACAGCCTTTCCTCCTACTCCCAGGTAACCCAGAACAACCCAGAGAGCATCCACAGAGCAGGGGAGTGGGAAGTGCTGGCCGTATGGTGGGGTCTCGTCACACAGGACACAGCTGTGGCACGGCCTGAATGAAATGCATTCAAGCAGAGGAACTTGGAAAATGTCTGACCCGTGCTAAGAGGCTGTGTGAAAGCCTACTAGCCTACTGTCAAATATTTGTCTTATCTTGAAGTGATAATCTTTATCCTCTCTCTTTTCTCTCTCAAAGGCAACACATGCCTGAATAGTGCCAGGGAGAGGTGCTAGATTATTTGGATGCCAGGAGGCTAGGAGCAGAGCTCTGAGCAATGGAGGAGCAGAAGCTCTGGAGACTGAGCTGCTCTGTTCTACAGGCTGCTGACGGACAGACCCTCTCAGCCTGTGTGAGCCTGGCTCTGATGGGTACAGCTGCCAGGAGAGAGAGGAGTTGAGCCCCCAGGTCTTCTTCAGCTGTGAGCTGAACACCACAGCTTCTTCCCCTTGTGCTGATGAAACTGAGGGCTAGAGAAGCTGTGTGCTGAGCTGACAAAGCTGAAGCCCTGAGCCTTTGCCCTGTAGACGGGCAGGGGGCTGGGAATGCAACTCCTCTTGTGTGCTTAACTTCTGAAGGTGAGGGAGGAGAATGTGAAGGACTCCTTCTGACCTTTCCTACTGACAGTTAGAAGGCATCTGGTGACTGAGATATCTTGTGGCCTTCCAAAGTCATTTGTTGTGCATGTGAAGGCCATAGACAACAGGAAGTGAGACCAGGAGCTGTGGCCACCCCAAATCCCAAATGTCCATGAAGCCCTTCAAAAAATCCTTGTGAAAGAATTGGGCTGTGGGCCACGGTGATGAGGAGCTGCTATACTAGCAGGATTGTACTAAATAGTACCTGAGCAATGTAGTAAAGGGGAGGGACAAAATGGAGACGTTTGTTAATCTCTCTCTCACCTTTCTCACCCTCCTCAGGTGTTATGTAGAAGACAGAAGCTCCAAGGTGGCCTGGTTAAACCGTTCTGGCATCATTTTTGCTGGAGAGGACAAGTGGTCCCTGGACCCTCGAGTAGAGCTTGAGAAGAGAAACCCCCTGGAGTACAGCCTGCGGATCCAGAAAGTGGATGTCTATGATGAGGGGTCCTATACGTGTTCAGTGCAGACACAGCATCACCCCAAGACTTCCCAGGTTTACTTGATTGTGCAAGGTAAGCAACATGCCTGAGAAGAGAGCAAAGAGAGAAAAACATGGCAGGTGGAAGGATCTGTGTCCTTCTTAGGGAAACCACAGAGCCAGTAGACTGTGGACCTTGCAATGGCAGCCAGGAGTGAGCAATTCCTTTAGTTTGCAACAGGAGTCAGCAGGACTGTCCCCTTCTTCTGTGGCATGGCGTGGGTTTGCTCTGACATTAGTCTGTCCTTTCCAAAGCAGAGACAGAGCAGGGAACATCAGTGATTCCAAGGCATATTCTAGATACAAACCTGGTCCTTGGCTCTGGTCATTCTGGCTCTGAAGGGAAAGCATTTGTTTATGATGCCACTTGTTGGGATGAGGTGCTTGCCTTGTGTCTTCCCAGATAGCCCTCTTGTTTCTTCATCATCTCTTTCCTCAGATTTTCTTTCTTTTTTCTTATATCAGCAAGAGTGTTGTGCTTTTTGGCCTTCTGTTGTCAGCCTCTTGCAAGGCAGGGGAATTAATTTTCCTGGATGTTTTTCTGTGCAGGGTCACTGGTTTGCAGGGTGCACTGTCTCTAGGCATGTGTGAAACCTGGTACCTGTGGTACCAGCCGCCTACCTTATGTTATGCACTCCATTTTTAGCTGCCCTCCTCCTGCGTATGTTACAGGGAACTGGAAACTTGGCAATCTGAAGCAGCATTGCCCTGTTTGCCTGCCTGCACGCTTGGTATAATAGAGAGTAAACACATCAAGGAGGTCACCAATTACTGGTAAGGGCACTATGGAATTTGCTTGTTCCATCCTGCCTAGACCAGAATAGCAAACAAAACAGTTGACTCTTTTTTTTCTTTTTTTAAAATCTTCCCACAATTCTATCTGCCTATTTATCTAAAATATTTATAGATTAGCTTAAATAGATACGTATGGCTGTGTTTAATACGTACTGCAGAAATGTTCAGCTTCTTTGTTATCAGTCAGATAGGAATTTGTTTTCTCTTCGGATTTGTCTAGCAAACAAAAATGCTCCAAATTTTATTTCTCACAGCTAATGTTTGGATCATTCTCTGTATAAATGCATGTACAAATGGACTCTCCTCTTGCTCCTATTACTTGGCCAGCTCAGGGCTAACTAGCATGTTTAGCGTTCATCAGCAAGGCAAAGTTGGGCTGTGTGGTCAGGGGTGACGCCTTACATGTGAGTGCAGTAAAAATGAAGGATCCCAATTTGTCTTGCGCAAAATCCCCCTTCAGCAGCATGAGGAGTAATGGGCACCAGCATACAGAGCAGGTGTTCTGGACTGTTTGAGGGAATGCACCCAGCATGAAACACACTCGCAGAGGCCTGGAGATGTACCCAGCCTTGCTGCTTGCTGCAACCATGCAAGTAGTTTACTTCTGGTAAAGTCTGACCGCATGCAGTTTCCATTTGCCTGTCAAGAAAAAAATTGGTATGAATGAATTTTAGAGCCACGCACATGTATTATTAATTTTATTTGTGCCTATTAGATACAAGCATAAACAGCAGAATTGAGTTCTCCAGCTGAGCTTTCAATTAAATGTGTGGGTGTCCAGCTCTGAGCTACTGCCACCTTTCTGAGGATGAGAGAATTCAGGTACTGGCACACTCAAACATGCCTCAAAGCAGTGTATGTGGATAATCTTTGCTTAACATGTTCCATGAATTTACCAAAAGACCCACTGCAGTATCATGCTTACTTCTTAAGCCTCAGGTCCCAGAATTCTGTAATTAGATGAAACCCACAGCTTCAATTTTTCTAAAAGTAAATATGATTTGTTATGATTGTTGGAAGAAAAAAAAAAAGAGAAAAATATAAATACAAATTCCTTTACAATTTGGAGGAATTAGGCTTATTTTAAACCATATTTTTATTAGTTTAAAACTAATGAATAATTCATTTTAAATAATCTTAACTAATAAAACTAATTTATTAGAAACTAGTATATACTGCAAAATATCCCTTTTCTCTCACAGTATCATTTTCTCATATTGATTATTATTATTATTCCCAGATGCGCAGTTTGCCTGCCTGAAAAATAGTCTGTCACTAGTGCAAATGAGAGGAGTTTGGATATTGAGTTGTGTGCTAAGCTTTTTAGGTTTCTTATTTAATATAATTTATTTCTTTCTTGTGCTTTTGTGTTATAAAATTAAAAACATGGACTAGAGAAAGCAGTGGGCATCCCGAACTTAAAAGTAAACAAACAGGACACAGCTCCTGAAAAATTAAATAACAGGGTTGTTAGTTGATTGGTGTGCTGGTCTGGCAGGAGGATGCCTGGGCTGACCATCGAAAGTTCCTTTTAAGCAATCAGGCTTGTGCTGCCCACACTTGCCACCAGACGTCCTGCAGTGACTGCTGATGGACATCAGCTGTGCTCATGCCCTTTCTCTTGCTCACTTAGTGATGACCCAGGTCTCTTCTCCCCTGCACTGGGTACCACAGGCAATGCCTTAATCTCTCATTTTTCTGCAACCTCAGCTAGATGGTCAGTGTAAAAGCCCAGCCCTCTCACCCCAAGAAACAGATGAGCTAGCTATATCAGAGACTAACAAGTAGGTAGGTACAGGATTGGTGCATTATAAATAGGGAAGGCCACTTCCATAACTACAGTGCCAGCTGAAAGAAATGGGTTTTGATGTTTCCTAAGAGTTGGCTGCATTTAGATTGTCACAGCTTAATGGAGTTGCATTTCTACTCTTCAGAAAATCATAGAATCATAGAATATAAGATTATCCAGCATTCTTTATTACTCTTTCCCCTTTTTCAAACTCTAAGACTGCTCTACTTGGAGATGTAGACATTCACTGCTCAAAGATTGCTGAGTATAACCATTGGCTGGCTCTTCTGTCTTTCTGACTCAGATAGCCAGCACTGTTGCCAGAGTGGGGTGAGCTGGAGGCAGCTGTCTCTGCCCAGCTCAGTCACAAACAGGTGCTGGTACTGTGCCCTTCACACTGAGGTGAAGACATGAAAAGGGAGCTATAAACCACCAGCATTTTATGCTGCCACACTCTTGGTGTAGTGGCAATTAGAGACTTTCATTTGCTACTCTGCATATTTCTTTTTGCCTCTGATCAGGGATGCAAAGATCTGGAAGGGCCCACAAGAGGCAGCATAGTCCCTTCCTATGCACTAGAGACAAGATCAGATGTTGGTTGCTTTCAGCATGTATTTTTTGAAGAGACCCCACGCACCGAAAACCATATATGGCCATTATGTCATGCTTGTTGTGCTTGGAAAGCTTTTAGTAAGATATGATCTAAACTGGTTTTGTTACCAAATATTTATGATCCTTCCCCTACAGATGATGGTAATTTATCCTTCTCTTACTCAAAACTACCTTTCACCTGCCTATTAAACCCTATGTCTTAGACCTCTGCAGTCAAGCCTAACTGGCTGATTTCTCACAAGTTGTATTTTCCATCCCTTACATTGTGCTTTTTTCACTACTGTACAATTTGACAACACTTTTCCTTAAATATACTGTCCAGAACCTAAGCAAAAGTTCTAGTTTAGGACTCATTTGTGCAGGTGAAAGGCAAATAAGTGACTGTAATATTTCGCATATCATGCTTCACTTAACTGACCTCAGAATGAGATGAAATTCACCTTTTATTTATAAGAACACCTTTCTCTTATTAATTCCTGCAGCTCTCAAGGAAGTGGCTTGCTGAATGTTGTGACTCGATGCACATTCTCCACTTCTACAGCTGAGCATTAATTGTGATTTCCCCCTTCCTGAGCACAGCACTTGTGCTTGCTGCTGTTGCTTTCCATCCAGTTGGTTTCTCCATGGAGATGGTCTCCATGGAGAACGTACTTGTAGTGGCCCTCAACTTGGTGTCCTCATTGAAAGTCGGGTGCCTTCTTTCTACTGCATCCCAAAGGTGTTAAGTGAAGCATTAAAAATATCAGGGCACAAAGAAGTCCGTGGTAACAACTCACAAAACCTCCCTCTCTGCAAATAGCTGTCTGTTGATCACAGCTCTTTGAAGCATCCTGATGGTGATTTAACATCTGCCATATTTTCTTTGCTTGTTCAGGAGGCTGTCAGGACTGCTCAAGTCAAGATATATCACACACTGCTCCCTCTTTATCCACTATGCCAGTTATCCTATAAAAAAAGGGGTGACAAGATATATGTTTGCCAAAAGTGCATTGGTTATTTTTTCCTTTACCGTATTATTATCCTCTAGGTGTTTATAAAGGGGATGTTTAATTGTTTGTTCCAGTAGACTCAGTAACTTGTTCTAGAAGAGTGAGTCATAAAGGGAATCTGGTGGCTGCCCCTCTCTAAGCTCTGTCTTGGGCTCTTCTAGGGCTGTAGCCTCAGGCCCTTTTCAGACATAAATAAATGTCAGAGGATAAATCCCTATAGTCCTCACTTAGCAGGGTCACAGGCACAAAGACACAGAAATCCTAGCAGGCATGGGGCCTAAAACTTTTGGCAGTAAAGACTTAAAACTGTCCAGCTCAAGCTAAATTACTCTCAGGTAGGAGTAGGCAGATGGTTGCTGGTTTTGCTGTCAAAAGACTTTACACCAAGGCATCACTGTGAATGGAGACGGCCGGGAACACTTCAGTGGAACAGAAACATTTGACTGGTTTTGGCTTTGATTAAGATTTAGTCAGGAAGGTTTTAGAGGTCTTAGGTTCCTTTTGTGGTCAAAACTGGGAAGAGGAAAAAATACAGAATTACCATAATTTATCTAAAAGCTAATGGTCATATCTGGAGTATGGAGAACTCACGCTTGCCTTTTTGCTCAGGCTCAGGGATGCTTGCAGCCTCTAACATTTCTTGTGATTCCCAGTTATTGGCAGTTCAAAGGATGTGCGCTATCCCTTGTTCAGATGTTTATTTTATGACAAAAATTCAAAAGAGCTTTGTCATTTTGGCAGAACAAAAACAAATTTGGAAGCGTCAGCAGCAAGTTCTCAAGAAGAGGAATTCTTGTTTACTGCCCAGCCCTAATCACAAACTCGAAATCAGTGTGTACCAGCTAAAGG